GTGAAAATAACATACAAAAATACCTTCTATTAGAGGAAATTGCTTTCAAAAATGTGTACATAATTTCAAAGTGCATACAAAAATGTGTTTTTAGGAGAAATTCACACTAAAATACTAATGAATTTTCATTAGGAATTTTTTATTATTATTATTTTTGCAAATTGCTGAAGAAGTGTCATGAACTGAATTTGAGGTTGCAAAAATGTGAAACTGAGGAAACCAAAATGGACAAATCCTTCTACTCCTAGTCTCCTTCAATCACTAGAACAGTGGATCTCAAATATGATGATGGGACATCCAGAAAGTAGAAAACAATGCAGCTACATAAGAACATGAATCCTTCCCCAAATATAATATTGTCCTTGAATCGTCCCACCCCAGTTGCCATCCTCTGCCACCACACACTTTGAGAGCCTCTGCACTAGAATAACAGAGCAGAGCCCTATAAACAGAAGGCAGCTGGCCAAGAATGACATTGTTCATGGCTGAAATACATATATAATTTTTATTATTATTATTATTTTGTCCAGTAGCATCTTAGAGACCAACAAAGTTTGTTCTGGGCATAAGCTTTCGTGTGCATGCACACTTCTTCAGATACACACATTGTTCATGGCTGTGATATTAAAGTTCTGTACTGGTCCCTTTTTCGTCTCCAAAAGCTTCTATTTTTTCTCTGTCTATTGGTCACCTCACAATAATTTCCGTCCCCAGACTCCCTTCTGCCAGCCCCTGAGCCTCAAATCCCCTAAATGTGCAGCTCAGGATGTTTGGGTGGCCGAGGAGAGTGACAGATGAATGGTCCTTACCTCCAAGTATCCTGGGAGATAGTACATAAGATCTGTGCAGAAAATGAGAAATTGCCCGGCTACAAAGTATACCCTCCAACATTTATCTGATGAAAATAGGAACGTCCCATTCCATAACGATAATTTTGCTATTTATACCCCACAAATCTTACTGGGTTGCCCCAGTCACTCTGGGCAGCTTCCAACATATATAAAAACACAATAAAACATTAAATGTAAGAAACTTCCCTGTACAGGATTGCCTTCAGACGGCTTGGGGGGTCAGATAACTCCATACCCTCCAACATTTCTCCAATGAAAATAGGGACATCCTAAGGAAAAGTGGGACATTCCGGGGTCAAATCAGAAACCGGGATGGCTTCTCTAAATCAGGGACATCCCTGGAAAATAGGGACACTTGGAGGGTCTGGTAATGTATCTATTTTTAAAATAATTATTCATATGTTCTAAGATAAGTCATCTAACCTTGTGTGAAGCCTCCAAGCTGGTTGGTTGTATATATCACCTCTGGGGCCACAACAGTTCAACCCTTAAACTGTAGTTGCTGGGAGGGAAAATTATAGCTGGAGTATTCTGGGATTCCAGCCTCTGGGAATATAAATATGAGATTGTATCTGTTCTCATGTAATATGTGGCAATGGATGATTAAATGATTTGTTGATTAAGGCACTTTTAAAACTTGTGATTCTGTGTTTAGTTTTTCTGCCTATTTTAATTTTATTCCATGATGAGTACTGGTAAATGTTGAAATTTTGTTTTGTGTGCAGGTCAACTCAGAACTGCAACATTTTTTGCTATTGCCACACATGCACATATCGCAATCACCATCCTGTTTACCGTTTGGACACTCCAGGAACTCTGGACTATAAAAGCCACTGGGAATCCAAGGGAACCCAAACATCACTCTCCAGGGACTTGCAGAGATGAAGGTTCTGGCCCTCACTCTCTTCTGCCTCCTCATTTCGGTGAATGAAGCCAAAGTATTTGAGAAATGTGAACTGGCTGCACTTCTGAAACAGCATGGGCTGGATGGATACCATGGCATTAGCCTGGCCGACTGTGAGTTTGCTCTTCCTTTCCCTCCATCTTTGCATTTTTAGGTGTTTGGGGACAAATCCTGCCCAACCAGGATCCAGCCCAGAATCATTTTCAGTATGAGGCTAATGTTTAACTAGAGTTTTTGAAACCCTGATTAAACATACTAGTGGGGTGGGAGAGTGGGAAATAATGCCAATATAAAAAAGAAGAAGTAAAGGACCCCTGGATGGTCAAGTCCAGTCTAAGGCAACTCTGGGGTTGTGGTGCTCATCTCTCTTCAGGCTGAGGGAGCCAGCGTTTCTCCACAGTCAGCTTCCAAGTCATGTGGCCAGCATGACGAAACCACTTCTGGTGCAACAGGACACCGTGACAGAAATGCTGTTTACTTTCCTGCCACAGCGGTACCTATTTATCTACTTTCACTGGTGTGCTTTCTAACTGCTAGGTTGGCAGGAGCTGGGACAAAGCAACGGGAGCTCACCTTGTTGAAGGGATTCGAACCATCGACCTTCTGGTCGGCAAGCTCAAGAGGCTCAGTGGTTTAGACCACAGCGCCACCCACGTAGCCAATATATTTCACTCCTGGCAACAAATGCACCCCTTTGCTTTCAGATAGCACATGGGTAGATGAGCCTAAAAAGCCTGGGACATAAATTTTCATGGCCCTCTTGCAGCTATGGAGGCTCACTTAGCAGAAGTAATGTATTTAGCATTAATTCTGGAAGTGTACACTCGATTCCAACCTAACTAAGGCTCCTGGTGTATATTTTGCTCTAGAAGGCTGAGTTTTGTCAGAATCGAGTATACATTTCCAGAGTTAATGCTAAATAAATTATTTCTGGTAAATAGGCCACCATAGCTGCTTGAGGCCATAAAAAATTGTGTCCTGGGATTTTTAGATTCATCTACCCATGTACTATCTGAAAGCAAAGGGAAGCACTGATTGCCAGATGCGATTCCCCCCCCCCCCAACTCTCTTACCCAACTAGTATACCCCATTGTGTCCAGCTCTAGGCAGCACAATTTAAGAAGGATATTCACAAGCTGGATATTCATGAGCAAGATTACCAAGGATCTGGAAACCAAGCTTTATGAGGAATGGTTGAGGGAGTTGGGTATGTTTGGCCTGGATAAGAGGAGACTGAGAGGAGATATGATGGCTATCTTCAAATATCTAAAGGGCTGTCACAGGGAAGATGGAGCAAGCTTGTTTCCTCCTGCTCCAGAGAGTAGAACCCAAACCAATGGATTCAAGTTACAAGGAAGGAGATTCCAACTAAACATCAGGAAGTGCTTCCTGATGGGAAGAGCTGTTTGACAGTGGAACAGTCTCCCTCAGAAGGTAATAATAATAATAATAATTTATTATTTGTACCCCGCCCATCTGGCTGGGTTTCCTCAGCCACTCTGGGCGGCTTCCATAGAAACAAAAAATACAGTAAAATATCACAGATTAAAAGCTTCCCTGAACAGGGCTGCTTAAGGTAGAGGACTCTCCTTTGTAGGGAGTTTTTAAGCAGAGGTTGGATGGCCAGGGATACTTTAGCACTGCAGGAAGTTGGACTAGATGACTCTTCCAACTCTACAGTTCTATCATTCTGTGATTCTAAGAGCTGTGTCTCCTCCCCGCTTCCACCTTCACTGAGGATTCAAGGGGGGGGGGGCTGCTTTGCAAAGCACATCACTCCAGGGCACAGTAGCATCAAATCCTTTGCTCATCAGCTGGTAAATGGAGGATTCGTTCCTCCTGGGTACTGGTTTACAAGTGCTAGGGCATGGGTAGGCAACCTAAGACACAAGGACAGGATGCGGCCCAATCGCCTTCTCAATCCGGCCCACAGACGGTCCAGGAATCAGTGTGTTTTTACATGAGTAGAATGTGTCCTTTTATTTAAAATGCACCTCTGGGTTATTTGTGGGGCATAGGAATTCGTTCATTGTTTTTTCTCCAAAATATAGTCCGGCCCCCCACAAGATCTGAGGGACAGTGGACCGGCCCATGGTTGAAAAAGGTTGCTGACCCCTGTGCTAGGGTTACCTGCCTCTCCCTCTCCCTGCTTGATGCCCCACCCAATAGCCCCATATATGCAGCAGTCCAGGGCTGCCTCCACTCATCTTGGCAAAAGCCCAGATCAGTCGGGTTCAGTTCAGGCAGTGCCTGAATCCGATGCACAACCCTAAACGTTTCTTTTCAATGCTGGTTTTTTTTAAGTCACACACATTTGCTACAGTTAACTGACAGAATGTTTTAAAGTTACTTTGTTTCAAGTTATTGCAACTTTGAAGGGGGGGAAATAATCTCCCTCTCTCCTCTGGCCCTTTTCCTTCTCACTTTGTTCCAGGGATCTGCACAGCTTATCATGAAAGCAAATACGAAAGTAGCGCTGTGGGGCCAACAAACACAGATGGCAGCCAGGACTATGGGGTTTTTCAAATAAACAGTCGCTATTGGTGTGACAATCAACAGGGCGAAACAGCCAATGGATGCAGAATCTCCTGCAGTGGTAAGCAACTTGGTGCCATACAGATGGCCAGCAAAAGGCCTCTGCAATTTCCAGAGAGGATGGGTTGTGTTTTTGAAGGAAGCACCCAATTTGTCTCCCTTCAGTTACCATTCTCCCTCTGCAATCCACACGCTCACTTAGAAACCTCATTCCCCACCTTATCACTACATTTCTATTGCCACCCACCCCCAAGACATCCCAGCTTGTGCCTCTATTCTAATAAGCAAAGACCAGGGACAGGCCTAGCCTTGCTTTGTCCACCTCAACAACCTCGGGCTGCTCTCTTGTTGCCCTGACCCACCATCTATCTTGGGGGCCCAGGCTTCCTGCAGTCCAGAAGGTCGTCACAGGTTCACAGAAGCAACGACGAGGGAGGACAAATCTGTCAATTCCAGTCATTATTATTGTTAATACTATTCTTGTTAAAATTATAATATTATTATTCTTTAAAAGGCTCTAGATTGTTTAATCCACAGCATATAAGGCTCCAAGGAGGCCCGGGACATTGCTGCTGCCGCTCTGCCGTGAGTTTGTGGGGAGGACCGCTCCCCCCTGAAGCCCTTTTTCCACCTTGGGCCTGGGGGCGGGCCCCATACTGTTGATTTAAGCAGAGTCTCGTTGCCAGCGGAAGGATGAGTAATACGTGCTACATACTCTATATTGCTTTATTTACAGTTCAAAGCTGGTATATTACAGAAAGACATCTTGCCTCTGCAGGAGCAGAAAATGCATCCTCTCTCCTCGACAGCTCGGAGAGAATCACACAGTGAAAACAGGAAACCAGTGTACGTCACATCCAGTCTCCCTTTCCCGTGAGAAACTCCAACAGTACAGACTGTGGAATGTAAACACCTGTCTCGTGACAAGCAGAGCTGCACAGTGAAGGAAAGCAGAAACCAACATCCTCCCCCTTTCTGTGAACATCACTGGGCAGCGTGTTTGCACAATATCAGTACAAACCCAACTTCTGCACATAGGTACAGTGTTGATCCCTTGATACAATCTTGGACAATACATCAGCAGGAATTTCATTACCTGGCATATAGGACACCGTTACGAGTCCCTTCTGAATACATTCCCTAGCATGCTGCAACTTTAATTGCAAGTGCTTTGTGCTTTGCTTACAACCTTCAGACTTCAGCAAAGCCAAACATGCTTTGTTGTCCTGGTAAACCTGGATTGGACATTTGACAGGAATTTTCATATCTTTGCACAATTGTACTAACCATTCACAATCCTTAAGTGAATAAGACAGTGCATTCAGTTCGGCTTCACAAGTACTTAAGCTAACTGTTGTTTGCTTCTTGCATGACCAATCAAACAGACTCTGATTGTACATGTAGCAAACTCCAGACGTACTTTTCCTGTCTGTAGCGTCACTTCCAAAACTTGCATCTGCAAATATCTCAAGACCACCAGACTTCTGATTGTTAAATCTCAGTCTGTAATGCATAGTGCCTTTCAAATACCGCGCTATGCGTTTCAGAGCTTTCCAATCCTTGACACTAGGATTGTTGACTTGTCTGCTTAGCAAATTACAGCTAACAGCAATGTCTGGTCTTGAACATCTGGCAATGAAGTTTAGCTTGCCTAGCACACTCCTGTACAGTGTAGTGTCAGAAAATGCTTCTTCAGTGTCATCTACCTGATAACCTGTTGTCATCGGTGTGTCTACAGGGTTAGCATCCATCAGATTTAGTTTGCTTAACACATCAGCAATTTTCCGTGACTGGTGTACTAGAATGTTACCATCTTGATCTCTCTCTATTTCCAGAGATAGGTAGTTGTTTACCTCACCAAGATCTTTCATGTCAAAGTGCTCTTTCAGTTGAGCTAGGGCGCTATTGTACATTGCGACATCTTTCCAAAAGAATAATAAATCATCAACATAAAACAAACAGTACAGTTTCTTTGCCCCTCCTCTTTGACAAATACACATGGATCAGCTTTCCCTTGCTGAAAACCTAGAGAAAATAATACTTCAGTGAGTTTTGTGTGCCAACACCGTGCACTTTGTTTGAGACCATAAAGGGATTTCTTCAGAGCACAAACAAATCCCTGTTTTACCTGTACGCCATCAGGTGGAAGCATATAAAGTGATTCATCTAGAGATCCGTACAGAAAAGCTGTATTAATATCATGGTGACTAATGTGTAGATTTTCCTCTGCAGCTAGCTTGAGCATAAGCCTAATGCTTTCATATCTCACTGTGGGTGAATAGGTCTCGTGATAGTCTTCACCTGGTACCTGTGCAAAACCTCTGGCTACCAATCTGGCTTTGTGTCTGACTATCTTGCCATTTTGATCTGTCTTCGCTTTGAAGACCCATTTGCTTCCAAGCAGTTTCATTCCTGGAACTACTGGAACTAGCTCCCATGTTTTGTTCCTTTCTAAGGAATCAAGCTCAGCCTTCATGGCATTTAACCATGGCTCAGCTTCCTTTGAATCCAAACCCTGGATTTCTTGGAAACTTGAAGGTTCAAATACCTTCTTGGAGCTTTTAACAGCTGTTACTGCTATCGTAGCAAACTCATCAGCAAATCTCTTTGGAGGTTTGCTTTTGTGGCTCTCTGTGACCTACGAATTAGCCTTAAGTCTTCAACACTCTCCTCTTCCTTCTTAGGAGAAAAACGACCTATTGTGAACAATGGTTCCTCCAATTCTTGATCAGAGCTTTCAGAGGGTCGCATAGAGGCTTTCGCACTCTTGAAATCCTCTGAATCACCCGATTCAGTTTCAGATTCAGACTCAGAACCTTCATCAGTGGGTGTGGGCTGTTGTGGTTGCTTTTGACTATCCTCAGTCTCATCACCGTCATCAGGATAACATTGGAAAATTCCCACATTCTCCCCACTTTGCATTGTACTCGACACTTCTCGTGAGCTTAATTGTCTTAGAGTCAGTCATCATTATTCTGTAAGACCCTTTCTGATAACCTAGAAAGATACCATGCAATCCACGCTTGTCTAACTTGGAGTTTTGTGGTGAGCGAACCCACATGTCAGAACCAAAAATCTTCATGTGTTTGATGTATGGCTTCTTGCCAAACATCTTCTCATAGGGGGTACAACCAATCGCTGAAGATAACCTGCGATTGTAACTGTAAACAAAACACGAGAGAGATTCGGCCCAATAACTCTCTGGAAGATTGGCATCATGCAGCAAGGTTTTTAATCCTTGAAGCAATGTCTGATTTGCCCGTTCCGCAAGTCCATTCTGCCATGGCGAGCGAGGACTAGACAAATCGTGTTGAATTCCTTTCTCAGTCAGAAAAGCTTCAAACTGCTGAGAAGTGAATTCCCCCCCGCGATCACTGAAAAGAGTCTTTATCTTCTTACCATGCACATTTTCCAACCAAGCACAGAATTCCTTGAACCTAGGAAAAGCCTCTGATTTCTGCTTGAGATTGTACACAAAAATATATCTAGAAAATGCATCAATGAGAACCATGAAGTATCTATTTCCACCCAAAGAGGGCGCTAATGGTCCAACCAAATCAGCATGAACAACCTGGTATGGTTCTGTAGCATTCCTACTAGACACCTTACCTTTCGCAGCCATTTTCACTTTGTTTGCTGCGCATGCTTTGCACTTCATGTGGTACCTGCAGGGTTTAATAGTCATACCTTCAACCAAGGCAGGCATTTTAGATACTGCCTCAAAATGCAAATGACCAAATTTGCGATGAAAATCGTGAATACATTCTGCATGCAAACTTTTGTTAGAACCTGCAATGCAACAAGTGTCATCCTGCACCACATCATCATAATACAAAACAAACAAATGATCAACATATTCTGCATGCAATACATAATCATTTTCTTTGTGATGATGCACTTCTTGTTCTTGAAGGAAACGTCAATGTTCCGCTCATTCAGCTGTCCAACGCTGAGCAGATTATGTTTGGCGTCTGGCACGTAAAGCACATTCTGTATCGATAAGTCCAAACTGTGAAGAACAACAGTTCCGTAGCCTTTACTGGGAATAGTGTGGTCATCCGCCTGGTGAATCGCACCTTCCTGCGGTGTAAAAGACACAAACAGTTTCTTATCGTTGCACATGTGGTGGGTGGCCGCTGAATCAACAACGAAGAAAGATCTAGACGTCTTCTGGACCTCTGCAACCTTTGGAGTGAAGCGTGAAACCATAGCCTTGTGCTGCGTTGTCCTAGACACCGGACCTTTGCCTTTGCCTCGGCCTTTTCCGCGCGATGAGCTTTCGCTGCGCTGCTCTGTCTTGGCCCTGGGATGTCTGCATTCCCTCTTCATATGGCCTAGACGTCCACACGTGTAGCATTTCACTGCCTTCAAAGCTTTGGCGCCATCTGGTGGTTCCACTGCACTATGGGATGACGTCTGTGAAGACTCTCCCTTGCCCATGCAGCTAGCACCCCGGCGATCTGCTTCATTTAAAATCACGGCAGTAACAAAGTCCACTGTCAGCTGAGCAGTTGGTTGCACAGCAATCTGGGTTGCAACAGACTCCCAACCTGAACCCAAAGATTGTAGTATCATGAAAGAATACACAGCCTCTGGAAAGTTGAGTCCTCTCTGTTGCAGCTCATGTCTCAGATTTTGCATCTCCATCAGATGTAAACGCACATCTCCACCTTCAGCAAGAGCCATATTGTGCAGCTTGTTAAAATAAAACATAGTGGATCCAGCTTCTGTCCTTAAGTGAGCCTCTCTCAGAGCGTCCCAAACTTCTCTGGCTGAGGTCTTATCACGCAATAGACAGAGCTCTTCTGGGGATACTATCAATGTAAGAGTTCCCTTGCTTTGGAATCCTTAGCTTCCCATGCATCTGTAACTGGAACTGGGGGTTCCTGTAATCACCTCAAACAAACCCTCTTTCCGCAGAATTGCCTCTGCATACTGAACCCAGTCGCTGTAATTTTTCTTGTTGAGCTTAGGAATCCCACAAGCATCCTGAAGGGCCATCATGACTCTGGCATTAGCCTTCAGCGTCATATGCTGCTTTAAATCTTGCTGCGTCACTGCTGCAGCTGCTTTATTACAAAGGCACACTTAAAAGTTACTTTCGATTTCCCCAGCATAGTGACTTGTGCCTGGGAGCCTTTTGCCTATTTGCAAAACCGGCTTTAAAAGTTCAAAGTCCAGCCATAAAGCCATTATCTTGAAGCTGGCAGGCTGCCCGGAGCAGTAGCACATACCTCATCAATCACTTCTACGCGCAGAGCAGATTCCTTTCCGATCCGTCCCTCTGCATTCCGATCTTTTGCCGGCACTCCGATTCGACCTCTGGAGCCCATAACCACGTGTTGATTTAAGCAGAGTCTCGTTGCCAGCGGAAGGATGAGTAATACGTGCTACATACTCTATATTGCTTTATTTACAGTTCAAAGCTGGTATATTACAGAAAGACATCTTGCCTCTGCAAGAGCAGAAAATGCATCCTCTCTCCTCGACAGCTCGGAGAGAATCACACAGTGAAAAACAGGAAACCAGTGTACGTCACATCCAGTCTCCCTTTCCCGTGAGAAACTCCAACAGTACAGACTGTGGAATGTAAACACCTGTCTCGTGACAAGCAGAGCTGCACAGTGAAGGAAAGCAGAAACCAACACATACTCCACCACAGCATATAAGGCTCCAAGGAGGCCTCGGGACATTGCTGCTGTTGCTTTGCCGGTGAGTTTTGGGGAGGACCGCTCCCCCCTGAAGCCCTTTTTCCATCTTGGGCCTGGGGGCGGGCCCCATACTCCACCACAGCATATAAGGCTCCAAGGAGGCCTCGGGACATTGCTGCTGTTGCTTTGCCGGTGAGTCTTGGGGAGGACCGCTCCCCCCTGAAGCCCTTTTTCCACCTTGGGCCTGGGGGCGGGCCCCATACTCCACCACAGCATATAAGGCTCCAAGGAGGCCTCGGGACATTGCTGCTGTTGCTTTGCCGGTGAGTTTTGGGGAGGACCGCTCCCCCCTGAAGCCCTTTTTCCACCTTGGGCCTGGGGGCGGGCCCCATACTCCACCACAGCATATAAGGCTCCAAGGAGGCCCGGGACATTGCTGCTGCCGCTCTGCCGTGAGTTTGTGGGGAGGACCGCTCCCCCCTGAAGCCCTTTTTCCACCTTGGGCCTGGGGGCGGGCCCCATACTCCACCACAGCATATAAGGCTCCAAGGAGGCCTCGGGACATTGCTGCTGTTGCTTTGCCGGTGAGTTTTGGGGAGGACCGCTCCCCCCTGAAGCCCTTTTTCCATCTTGGGCCTGGGGGCGGGCCCCATACTCCACCTCAGCATATAAGGCTCCAAGGAGGCCTCGGGACATTGCTGCTGTTGCTTTGCCTGTGAGTCTTGGGGAGGACCGCTCCCCCCTGAAGCCCTTTTTCCACCTTGGGCCTGGGGGCGGGCCCCATACTCCACCACAGCATATAAGGCTCCAAGGAGGCCTCGGGACATTGCTGCTGTTGCTTTGCCGGTGAGTCTTGGGGAGGACCGCTCCCCCCTGAAGCCCTTTTTCCACCTTGGGCCTGGGGGCGGGCCCCATACTCCACCACAGCATATAAGGCTCCACGGAGGCCTCGGGACATCGCTGCTGCCGCTCTGCCTATGAGTCTTGGGAGGACCGCTCCCCTTGAAGCCCATTTTCCACCTTGGGCATGGGGCGGGCCCCATACTCGCCTCCGCAGCTTATGGGGCTCCAGGGAGGCCTCGGGTGTGTGGGGTGGGGTGGGTGTTTAGTTGGGTGTGGGAATTTGTTTAATTTAATTATGTTGTGTTTGTAACTTTGTTTTTGTTTTTATAGTTTTATTGTTCTGTTAGTTTGTTTTTGTATAGGCTTTAATTTGATTTTAAGGGGAGGGGTCAGGGCTGCCTGGGAGTGGGTCCCAGCAAACAAAATGGCTGGGGCAGGTTCCACAGGGGGGGATGCACTCGGACAACCGATCTCAGTGATCACGGGTAGGAGGAGGAGTTACGCTAAGACCAGACCATGTCATTACCGAGGAAGCAGGCTTAGTCGTTGTTTGAGGACTATCCCTGCCTCCAGGTCTGGTCCTGACCGGAAGGATACTGGAATCAACAAGGGAAACCCACATGACCTGAAAGTGTTGCTGTGCAATGCCAGGTCAATGATGAATAAAACCTCTGCCATCCACGACCTGATTGTGGATGGAGGATTTGACCTGGCATGTGTGACAGAGACCTGGTTGGATGAAGCAGATGGGCCCGTCCTTGCCGCTGCTTGTCCACCAGGTTTCTCTTACGCACAGCAACCCAGGCCTTGTGGGCGGGGAGGGGGTTGCAGTGATTTTTAGGAAGTCATTAGTTTGCACCAGGCGTCCTATTGGAAAGACCCAGTTCTCTGAGTGCATGTTCTGGAAGTTGGGCAATAGGGGCAGTACAGGATTCCTATTGGTGTACCGACCTCCCCGCTGCACCAAGGATTCCCTGCCCGAGCTGCTTCAGGTCGTGGCGGATGTCCTCCTGGAGACACCTAGTTTGGTTGTCCTAGGGGACTTTAACATCCATGCCGACACGACCTTACAAGGGGCCGCTCGGGACTTCGTGGAAAGCATGGCCTCCATGGGGCTGTCCCTGAATAAGTCTGGCCCAACTCATAGCCACGGGCATGCCTTAGACCTGGTGTTCACCTCTATGGATGTTGGTGATCTGACATTAAGTAAAAGCGAAACCAAAGAAGTGCCATGGTCAGATCACTTCCTGGTGCAACTGGACTTCTCCGTGACCCTTCCCCTCTGCAGGGAGGCGGGACCGATTCAGATGGTCCGCCCCCGCCACTTAATGGATCCAAATGGTTTCCAGAGAGTGGTAGGGGATGTTTTATCCCATGTTGATGGCCTTTCAGCTGATTCCCTGGTGGCCCGCTGGAATGTGGAGTTAACCAGGGCTATTGACTGTTTGGCTCCAAAGCGCCCTCTCCGATTGCATGGAGTCCGGACAGCCCCGTGGTTTTCCACGGATCTGAGGGCAATGAAACAATCGTTGAGACGGCTAGAGCGCCGGTGGCGGATAACCCATTCTGAATCTGACCGGACACGGGTTAGAGCTCAATGTCGAGCCTACCAAGTGGCGATAGCGACGGCGAAGAAGACTTTCTTCACCGCCTCTATTGCATCTGCGGAAAACAGCAGCAGGAGACTCTTTCAGGTGGTTCGCAATTTAGCGGAACCACCTGCTCCATCAGGGCCCAGTAGCGGCCACATGATCTCCTGCAATGACTTTGCAAAGTTTTTGCAGATAAAGTCGCTCAGATTCGAGAAGAGGTAGACTCCACCGTGGGAGCAGGGCCGGGGCGGGAGAGTGCTAGAGTCCTGTCTAGTCAAGTTGTGTGGGATCAATTCCAATCTGTTACCCCGAGGATGTGGACAGGCTGCTTGGACGAGTGAAACCAACCACTTGCCTCCTTGATCCTTGCCCATCCTGGCTTATAAAAGCTAGCCGGGAAGGACTGGGCGATGGGCTTCGTGGGGTGGTGAATGCTTCCCTCCGTGAGGGAGCCTTCCCAGACCCGCTGAAAGAGGCGGTTATTAAACCGCTTCTTAAAAACCATCTTTAGATGCGGCCACGATAGCCAACTATCGCCCAGTCTCAAATCTTCCATTCTTGGGCAAGGTGATTGAGCGAGTGGTTGCTGAACAACTCCAGGCACGCCTGGAAGAAGCGGACCATTTGGATCCCTTCCAGTCGGGATTCAGGCCTCATCATGGGACTGAAACTGCCTTGGTCGCACTGGTTGATGATCTCCGGCGGGCTAGGGACAAAGGTGAGAGCTGTTTCCTAGTTCTGCTGGATCTCTCAGCGGCGTTTGATACCATCGACCATAACATCCTTCTGGACCGTCTTGAGGGGCTGGGAGCTGGGGGCACTGTTATACAGTGGTTCCGCTCCTTCCTCCTGGGCCGTGTTCAGAAAGTGGTGGTGGGGGATGAGTGTTCAGACCCCTGGGCCCTCACTTGTGGGGTGCCTCAGGGTTCTGTCCTCTCCCCCATGCTTTTCAACATCTACATGAAGCCGCTGGGAGAGATCATCAGGGGATTTGGGCTGGGTGTTCATCAGTATGCAGATGATACCCAGCTCTACCTCTCTTTCAAATCAGAACCAGTGAAGGCAGTGAAGGTCCTGTGTGAGTGCCTGGAGGCGGTTGGAGGTTGGATGGCGGCTAACAGATTGAGGTTGAATCCTGACAAGACAGAAGTACTGTTTTGGGGGACAGGAGGCGGGCAGGTGTGGAGGATTCCCTGGTCCTGAATGGGGTAACTGTGCCCCTGAAGGACCAGGTGCGCAGCCTGGGAGTCATTTTGGACTCACAGCTGTCCATGGAGGCACAGGTCAAATCTGTGTCCAGGGCAGCTGTTTACCAGCTCCATCTGGTACGCAGGCTGAGACCCTATCTGCCTGCGGACTGCCTCGCCAGAGTGGTGCATGCTCTGGTTATCTCCCGCTTGGATTACTGCAATGCGCTCTACGTGGGGCTACCTTTGAAGGTGACCCGGAAACTACAACTAATCCAGAACGCGGCAGCTAGACTGGTGACTGGGAGCGGCCGCAGAGACCACATAACACCGGTCTTGAAAGACCTACATTGGCTCCCAGTACGTTTCCGAGCACAATTCAAAGTGTTGGTGCTGACCTTTAAAGCCCTAAACGGCCTTGGTCCAGTATATCTGAAGGAGCGTCTCCACCCCCATCGTTCTACCCGGACACTGAGGTCCAGCACTGAGGGCCTTCTGGCGGTTCCCTCACTGCGAGAAGCCAAGTTACAGGGAACCAGGCAGAGGGCCTTCTCGGTAGTGGCGCCTTCCCTGTGGAACACCCTCCCACCAGATGTCAAAGAGAACAACAACTACCAGGCTTTTAGAAGACATCTGAAGGCAGCCCTGTTTCGGGAAGCTTTTAATGTTTGATGTATTATAGTATTTTAATATTCTTTTGGAAGCCGCCCAGAGTGGCCGGGGAAGCCCAGCCAGATGGGCGGGGTATAAATAATAAATTATTATTATTATTATTATTATAATCAGCCAAAGGGGATGGGCAGGTGTGGGGGACTCCCTGGTCCTGAATAGGGTCACTGTGTCCCTGAAGGACCAGGTGCAGAGCCTAGAAGTCATTCTGGACTCACGGCTGTCCATGGAAGCGCAGGTCAATTCTGTGTCCAGGGCAGCTGTTTATCAGCTCCATCTGGTACGCAGGATGAGACCCTCCCTGCCCACAGACTGTCTTGCCAGAGTGGTGTATGCCAGATGGGGGGGGTATAAATAAATTATTATTATTATGGCGGCAGTGAAATTTTCTTGCTGAATGGCAGGAGATGCTGTCATACCCACTTCCCCCCCACCATACAGTGATAGTAACTAAGGCATGGCTATTGTCTTGCTTATTCCTGGTGTCTGTGGTGCCCTATAGAGGTCTCCTCTGTTGCTCATACATCCTGCCCCTGTGTCCTTTGCCTCACCCTTGCAACTCCACCACCTTGCAACTCCACCACCACAGCAATGGCCATTTAGAAATAGCCTTACAGTAAGGCAGTTTCTCATTTTCCCTGTCTAAAGTTCAGTTCTCCATATTTCTGCCTAAAATTGTTTTTTTTTTAAGAGTAGCACATTCCTTTGCATTTTTGGTTGCATTTGTATGCAACTGTAACTAATGTAATGCATCTTTCTATGTTGTTCTCATTATATATGGGTTTTCCCCTACCATGCATATTATTTGGCTGGAGAACTGCATTGAAAGATTAGGAATGATAACTGGATTTAGAGATTTTGAAACTGTGTTTTGAAAGGCATCTGTCTTTAAGACTGCATATTATTTCAGGAAGTGCAAATAAGTTCACCCCCTGTTCCTTGCCAACAGCTGTGTCTTGCTGGAGAAGCAAATAAAAACCATTACCTATCCCTCTCTGATGAATAGTTCTGAAGAATTGCTCCTCTTTGCCCCCAAATCCAGTTCTTGAACTTAGATGGGAAAGCATCATCAACACAGTGGCTCCGTCTGCTCCCCTTTCTCCAAGCGTCAGCCAAGAATGGAAGGGGAGGCAGTGCATCTTGAATGCCCCCCCCCCCAATTAAAAAACCCACTACCTATTCCCAGAAACACTCTTTAGCCCCCCGTGATTCTAATGTAAGAAAATACATTTTCAGGCTTTCACCCATCCATAATGACAGCCAGAATGCTTTGAGTAAGGTGAATTAACTGTGTGAATAAGTAGCGCTGTTAGGATTCCTACAGCTGTTACTGAGTAGCTAGCACAGGGTGGAATCTAACACAGCCCTAAATAAATGTTCCATAAGCCAAGAATTTCTGTTTCCACATTGGAACATTATGCCCCTCTCCTCTCCCAGCACGACCCCTCAATCTGTTCTAAGGGTCCCCCTGACCCTCTGAAGCAGATTTGGCAAGGGCATGGGGCACAGAAGATGAGGGGAGAGGGGAAACCTTCTCTTGAACTTGCAGTCACTATAATTAACCCCACACAGGGAGGGAGAACTTCAGGGCAAATGTGGCCTTCCAGACCTATCTGTCCACCTTGCATGACTTTCCCTTGACCATGCCCTCTCTCATGGCCCTGTTCTGTGTGCAGCCCAAGTGCTTCACCTGAATGTGCCCTTGAACTGTGATGAGACCCCCTTGCTTGCCTGCCTGGAGGATAACGAGACGAGA